ATATGTTTATATATGTATGAGTCCCGACGGACGACCAAGTATGTATATGTGTCTGCATACATTGATGTTTGCGTTAGTACGATGACACAACGACGACTCCCCCCCCACCAATTCCATAATAACAGCAATACACGCAATCTACATAAACCCAAAATTTGAAAAAAATTAATCAGTTTGTCTGACGATCGCTAAAGCGTGAAACCCAGGGTCACAAACTCACATCTATCCAACCAAATATGTTAGCTCTATCTCTGATATTGAGCGCTTTCTAATAAGTACTGCGCATATAATATATAAATAATTATATTTTATATATATATATATATATATATATTTATATTTATATATACATACTTTTCACACACACACACACACACACACACATATATATATATATATATATATATATATATATATATATATATATATATATATATATATAAATATTATATTTATATTTAATTTAAAATATTTATATTTAATAAATATTTATATTTAATAAATATTTATATTTAATAAATAATCGGAGCGCCTACTGAAATAGGAATATCCACTAAGAATAACGTTTAAATTAATTAAATGTTCTATATATCCGAGCGCTTTCGGCTATTCTATTAGCCTATTCCAAGCATGTTTTTTGGTATTTTACTTTTGAATTATATGTGTATATTTTTCTATATGTATCTGGAGAGAGAGGAATGTTTTGCTTTATTATTATTATTATTATTATTATTTTCCAAACACGGTCAATACATTATGGCTGTGTTCATATTTGATGTTATTCAGTGTTGGCTTTTTCTTTTGTATTATTAACGCTACTATTATTTTAACCTTTTTTAACATGTGCATGTGGCTATTATATTTGTATTTTCCATTGGTATATGGCAGATGGCGTTAGATTTCTATGTGAGTTTAAATGAGTTCTAATTGAGCTATGGTCGGGTAGATGTAACGTGAGTCTTCTTGATAATCATGTAGTTGTATGTCCAATATAATTATTCATGAATTTCGCTTCAGGAACGCAGTTCCTTAAAGGATATATGAATATATATATTGTGTGTATCCACACACAATTTTGTAAAATCCTTGTCGAAAACACAATTATATTTAAACATGAAAATAATAAACAAAAACTAAAAATCCTTGAAGCTATATACATCAAACAGTTGAAACCTAACCTAAACAAAATCAACTATGGAATCTCTACAAATATCCTTAAATGTCTATAATTGGTAACAGAATCCATTGGTTCATACCAACGGTTCCCATACTTAATACGTCTCGAATTCACTGTCGCGTAGTCATGTATGACGTCATGAGCTGCGGTGAAATTTTCGCTTCTAGCGTCTTATATGCACGTGTTTATCGTTGCTGTGAAATCATCCATGTAAACAATCACAGACTATCATCACTGTCTTGTCCGTATATTGCTTAATATATTGTATAGTAATTGACATCTTTGATAATGGCTTATGTAAGCCGAAAGCTTAGATCTGATTAAAAAATATGTATCAATATTGTGATTTTCTTTCTTCGTTTAATGATAATGTTATTAAGCTTATCAGACGTTATGAAAAGAATTTACATAAAATAAATAGACAACACTTGTCTATATTATTTAATGAAACATGTATGAATGAATATATATATATGTTGAAAATTGACTAATGCATGGAATAATAATGCAACACAAAATGTACTTAGAACAAAATGTATTGAAACAAGAAAGTGTACACAATATTTACATATAGTCTTTTGTATATTCCTGGTAAGACCGTTCCTGGAGAATGTGTTGACTGAGTCGCAGTCGGGCTGAGTCTCTGGTTGAATCTTTTGATTCCTCCCTCTCTTCCCGGTACCAACCATATTTATATGGTCGGTACTTCACTATGCAAATTAGGTGGATCCTACCACAACAATATATATGTTTTCTACGACTTATCAATCCATTGGAAGTCATTTAAAACTAGAAAGTATTTTTAAATTGTAAGAATTTATTTTCATATTATAATGATTTAGTGCTACAAGTCTTACTAAATAACCCGTAGCTAGGAGGAGAAGAGGTGGAGCTATACGTTTTCCCAAGGGTATTTGTGCAGAAGTCAATATAACGAAACCACTCGGAATTAGAACTCGCCTCTCCGATTAACAAGTCCCCAACTATTATCCATTAGAACCCTAACCCTTTAAATCGAAGTTTACAGTACCTGGTATTCGAAATCGTATCCCATCTAGGTACTGAGCAGGCTCAACGTTTCTTAACTTCAGTGATCGTACGGGAACCGGTATTATAACGTGATCTGGATGTAAGCCTAAGTATACCAATAGAGTTGAATAAAAAAAAAGAAAACTTCTTTATGTGATGTGTCCCTTCAGGACATAGATGAACATGGCCCTCCACATCTCCCTGTCTCTTCAAGCTCTTAATGCGTTTTCTCTTTTTGATATTTCTCCCAAAACTCTGTTCAATTGACTCAAACTCATCAAGTATGTTACCCACTGCTTTCCCCTGTCCGTCTTTCCTTCAACCCGTCCTGTGAGTATCAGATTTTCATAACCCTCTTTCCTCAATACGTACCCCAGAAATGACAACTGCTACTTGTAACTCTTAATGCGTCGTCTTTTTGATATTTCTCCCAAACCTTGTTCTATCATCCATTGACTCAAACTCATCAAGTATGTTACCCACTGCTTTCCTCTGTCCCTCTTTGCTTTAACCCGTCCTGTGAGTATCAGATTTTCCTAACCCTCTCTCCTCATTACCTACCCCAGAAATATCAAACGCCACTTCATAATGTTAGTTATAGCTTTCCTTTTTGTTTCCATTTTCTCTAAAATCTTGTCGACGCTCACATGTCCGGTCCATGGTATCCTCAGCATGTTTCTGTAGAACTACATTTCTGTTGCTTCAAGTCTCTTCTTCATCTTTGAGGAGATTTTCCAGCATTCTCTGCATTATAGAACGACTGCTATTACGTAAGAGACACCAAGCTTAGCTTTGTCTGGCACGGGGTTAGAGCATAACGTTCCATCAGGGAAAGATCAAACTCGTCAGTTTAGCGAGTTACTTTGTTTTGTAACCTATGGAAGGTTACTGAATAGAATAATCCCACGAAGGTTGGCAATGAACGATAACACATAAGATTCGCCAGCGGCGCATAGAAGTAGTCAACTGCTAGAAGTGAGTCAAGTGAATTCCACAATGAATCTCCAACTGCAGGATATCTACCAACCGCCCCACGCGGTCAGAGGTGATACAAGGCCGAACTTAATGTGGAGTATCCAAGTCCGTAGAGTCGGCCAAAAATTCCCCGTAGACCTAGTATAAAACGGGGTCGGGTAGATGTTTCCCAAGACGAGTCTCTGCCCTTCGACATAGCCTCGTCTGGGGATACTCTCTGCCCGGAAGCAGAGAGTTTGAGCAGTACACCTGGAGACGAATTTCCGACTGCAGGATATCTACCGACCACCCCACGCGGTCAGATGTGATACAAGGCCGAATTTTATGTGAAATATCCGAGCCCGTAGGCTCGACCAAGAATTCCCCGTAGACCTCGTATAAAACGGGGTCGATCAGCTGTTTCCCGAGAGGAGACTCTGTCCTTCGACATAGCCTCGTCTAGGGATCCTCTCTGCCTCTGGGCAGAGAATTTGACCAGAACAGCTCTTAATACTGTGGCTAACATTCGGAATGTATATTTGATTTTCCCAGTGCGTTTTCGGATCTCTGTTAGAACATTTCACAGATATTAATTTTTTTGTAATTGTTTGATTTTAATATCCCCGATTTGTAATTTGCATTTTAGGGATCATCCTTTTGCTAACAATCATGGGTTTTCTCTTCCTGTAGTTTATGTTTAATCCTTTTTTAATTGCTTTCTTTCACTACCTTCTGTAGGAGATTTTTTTTAGTTTCCTTTCCTTGTCTGCTATCGGTACTGTGTCATCTGGATAACATATGTTGGTAAGATCGTGACAGTCAATAATAAATCCTGATAGGACTTCTAATTTAATAAGAGAACTAACAGGACAAAAGACATGCTCATCAACAGGAGGCATTAAAATTCAATCATGGGGCACCGATATTAGAGACAGAAAAAATAATTTAGAGATGAAACGAATACATGTGGAAAAACGTCCACGACGAAAGAAGACAACCGGCAATGAACAAAAATATCGAAGGACCAGACATATTGAAATCTGAACTGTAATAAAAATTGGTCAATTTCATAAGTAACATAGCAGACGGGATAGTAATTGAGGTTTTGGCAGGTTTATTAAGAGCTACAAACAATACAGAATTTTGAAGAGCCATGATCGCATACGTCCTGAAGGTACACAAAGAAGAAAAGGAAGAAAAAGAAGAGGAAGAAGAAGATGAAGAAGAAGAATAAGATGAAGAGGAGGAGGAGGTGGAAGAAGAAGAAGAATACAGATATTTTTTACACTATTTTACATTTGGACTGTTGTGCTCAATATTGTTATCACAACGTTTCAACCGGTGTGTCATCTGATTTTCACCAGTTCTATAATAGAACAATAGTCCGCGTGGAGACAGTTTAAATAATGATAGCACTTCATCTCCATGAATCCAGACATACATTAATGCATATATCACAAGAAGTTTACAGTGTTTTAGAAATGTCGAAGAGACTATTGATTTAAACGTACAACAAAAGCAAAAACACACGATTGATAATACAAAAAAAAATTTTTTTTCAAGAAACTGTCTGGACGGATTCTCCCTTTCCACATTTAAGAAGAAAGGAATTAAATTATTGATGCATTCTTTTTTTAATATTAATTTCTCTCGATTTCTTTTCATTTTTTTGTTGTTTCTTAAGCATGACTTCAAGTTGTATTTTTGTGGTCGCCGATATAGTCATAATTTACGGATGCATATTTAATTTTTGGCGCGAAAATTCTTAAAGACAATATAGGATAACTATGTCGAATAAATCGAATCAGTCTCTCGTCCACAGATGCCGACGGCATTATATTTTGATTGCGTTACATGATTCGATTTATACATGAGGCTGATATCAGCTACGCACCCAAAAGCCTCAAAATGCTGGACGTAATGTTGATGCTAACAGCATTAAAATCAGATCTTATCGAATTTGATTAGCACTGAGTATTAATTATCCACCATTTTGGACTGCATATATAATTAAAAAAACAAAATGTCCGCTAACACCATTCAAGGCAGTCTTCTCCATTGATTTAATCGGTTTATTCAGATTTATTCAAACGCTAATTTGTTTATTTATTTAAAAAAAATACTGCTATTAAAGTTGGTTTACTGTTTTGTGCAAGACAATTTTTCTCATCATAATGCATCATCTATATAATAAATGCGAATATCAATATGTCAACACTTAAAATGTACTCTTAGAGGCCGTAGCCTAACATATTATACTATTTTGAAATCAAGACGACTCCATGAGTAAATTAAGAACATTCCGGACCGAATCCGGGTCCGGACCCGCAATCCTGAAATTTTGCATTCCCAAGTTTTCATTACTGCGATTGTTTTGAGCGTTTTTTTTTTGTTTTTTTTTTTGTTTTCTTTTGTGTGTTTGCTTGTTTGTTTTTTATATGATATTTTTGCGACGTATTTATTTGTACTAAAACAATTTTTATAACAAGAAAATAAATTTAGGAATACTCGAAATTAATTGTGAAATTCAGCGAAAGTCACGCATGAAATAAAAATTATTGTTTGTACGGAAAGTAAGGGCCTACGTGCATCAAATTGTCTTTAAATTAAGTGATGACAGAAGAATTATCGTTGAACTTTTAAAAGGTAAAAATAAACACATGTAGAGGTTAAAATATATATATATATATATATATATATATATATATATATATATATATATATATATATATGTGTGTGTATATATATATATATATATATATATTAATGTATATAGTTATATATATGTTTATATTTAGATTAGATTATATATACTATATTATATGTTATATTTATTTATTTATATTTACATATATATATATATATATATATATATATATATTTTATATATATATATATATATATATATATATATATATATATATATATATATATATATTTATATAAATATATATTTTTACTTGTATTTATATATATACATATATATATATATAAATATATATATTAAATATTTATATATAGATAAAAAAAATTGAGTAAATATTATGTACTTTTAGATCTACGTTTCCATATTGGCACATACATAAATCCAAACAAAAAACAATCGCAGGACGTTGACGATTATGGGTCTCCACAACTTCCTGTCATTTTTCTCTTATTATCCCCCCATTGTCCTCTTCTGGTATCCATTTACACAAGCTCGTTAAGAAGGATATGCTTTGCTTTCCCCTGCCGCTCTTACCTTCCATATAAACCTGTGAGTGTCAGATTTTCCAAGCAGTCCTTCCTCACTATGTATCCTAGAAATTTCAAATGCCCCTTTCTTCTGTTAAGTATAAGTGTCTATTTAGTTTCCATTTTCTCTAAAACGTCGTCGTTGGTAACAGGTTCAGTCCATGGTATTCTCAGCATCCTTCTGTAGAACGACATTTGTATCGCCTCAAGTTGCTTCTTTATCTGTGCCGAGGTGGGTCAGCACTGACTGGCATGTAGAAGGATAGTTGGGTAATCATTTCTTTATTTCTAAATTTTCTTGTTTCTTAACACTTTTCTTAGCTTTGGAAAGGCATCTTTCTCTATTGCAATGCACCTTCGGATTTGGTTGCATCATTTTCTGTTCCTGTTAAAACACTTCCCAGGTATTTAAATTGTTGTACCTGCTTGATTTTGGCATCTCCAATTTGTCGTTTTCATGTCAGACAGCTCATTTTGCCGACATCTATGTATTCTGTCTTTGTGTAATTGATGTTTAATCCTTTCGTCTCTCCTTTAAACCAACGTTTTTATCCTTGCTTAACCCTTAAAATAAATGTGTATCAAAATATTGAATAAAATCATAGACACGAGTTGAATGTAACTGATTACGTTTTATACGATATTCATCACAAAAAATACGGCAACACAGTCGAACCATAACAATATGGTACGCGGGAGGAAAACATTTGAGAATCCCTAAGTAAATGAATTAGACCAGGGTTTCTCAATCTTTTTTTTCTTTTTTTTTTTTTTTTTTGACATTTGCGTGACCCTAAAAAAAAATTACATTTCTCAAGGAGCAAAAACAAAATTATATACCATATGTTTTCTCATTTTATTTTCACGTGGTAAATATCATAGTATATATTTTTGAATAACTGGTTTAAGGAAAAATGAATACTTCTTTGTCAAATTTTTCGGTAATGCTAAATAAAATACATACATTCATTCGCACACAAAAAAATTCTAAACTCAAACGTAAAAATCAAACATAAGTAACCAATATAATGTATCGATAATATAAATGTAAACAGAACAAAAACAGATAATTGCTGCATCATTTTTTTTATCTTTTACTGGCAATGTTGAAAAGACATAAGGTAAATAAAAGAAAAATGTCCTGTGAACCAATAAATGGGCTAAGAAAATGTTACTTTCAGAGCCATTTGATAAAGTGAAACATGCTTCTCTAATATGAAGACTGTGTCTGTCGTTTGCTACACAAATACTTAAATCGAGGTTGAACCTTTGATAAACACACATAGATTTTCTCAATTGAGATGAGACGATTTCTGTCTTTTCCCTTGATACTGGTTAAGTCGACTGGCTGATCGGTTGAACTCTCTGCTTTCGAGCGGGGAGGAACCCGAACGAGGCTACGCCGAAGGGCGGATTCTCTTTCGGGGAGGTAAACCGACCCAGAACCCGTTTATACGGGTTCAATGAGCATATTTTTGGCCGAGCCCACGGGCTCGGAGATCCCACGTTAAAAAGGCCTTGTGCCACATGACGCCCTCGTGGGTGGGGGGGTGACTGAATATCCTTGATACTTGTTAAGAAAAAGCTTGCTCACACATGTAAGACGTTAAAAACTGCAACAATATATTAATTAAATGAAATTAAATAAAAAATGAAATGTGCATTATCTTATCTCACATCTTCTCGCGGAACCCTTGGGGACCTTTTGCGGAATCTTAGGGTCCCGGGGACCCCCTGTTGAGAAACGCTGTTTTAAACATTTAAAAAATGAAATAATTTATTTTTCTAATATTGGTAACAAAGGATTTTCGCATATCAATATTTCCAGAACTGTGTCGGATTACTTTGGATTTTTCAAATTGACGATTTGGAACTATCATTCTTTTTTACATAAAGTTCACTTGGGACTTTTTATACAACCCTTCCTTTTATGAAATATCCAAGAAATGACAATTTACTGTTTACAAAGATCCTAGGGCAAAGCGTTTCATTACTGAAAATTATTCTAAAAAATATGTTTAAACTTCCAGTCATCCGTTTTCTTCCAACAATTCTATTTAAAATCAAGGGATTTATTTTCGTTTCATTACTTACATATTTAGTCCTGGGTATGACGATAAACTACATCGGGCAGCAAGGCCTTTGATCAGAATATTGAAGGTTTTGATGAGTGTTGTACCACCTCTTATTTACTGTTGTGTCCACATCAACCATGACCTGCAGTGGTAGCACCTGTTAGGGTCTCGGCTATGAAAGTATTAAAATACATTTTTATAGTAAAAATACCAGCAATACATTTTTTAGGAAAAAATTACCAATACATCAGTCAACATGAAAGAACACTTTCGTAGAATTAATCTATATATTATTCTACAATTTCTTAAAGAAATCAAACTGTATTCTAAAATATAATTTCAACAAAACTATAATATTAAACACACAGCCTCAAGTAATTATGTTCACACAAACACGCATATGCTTAAAAGCTGAGTATCATCTGCCATGTATTCAACTGTGAATGAAGAATATCATATATCATATTTTTATTACTTCAAGAAAATTAAATTTCGCCATTAAATGATCCATAAAGAGTTTATATGCCGTTCAACAAATAAATTCATCCACACTCGCTCGCTCGCTCACTCACTCACTCACTCCCTCCCCTCACTCCTCCACCCTCCTCACTCATTCGCTCCCCCTCCTCACTCCCCTCCTCCTCGCTCTCCACATAACTCCTCCTCACTCCTCCACTCGCTCGCTCGCCCCCCTCACTCCCCCTCACTCCTCCTCGCTCCCTCCCTCGCTCGTTCCTCCTCCTCCTCCTCCTCCCACTCCTCCTCCTCCGATCGCTCCCTCCCTTCCTCCCTCCCTCCTCCTCCTCCTCGCTCCCACTCACCTCCTCCTCCTCCCTCGCTCATTCCACTCCTTCCGCCTCTTTCCCTCACTCGCTCCCTCACTCCTCCCTCTCATTCACTCCCACGCTCCTTTAGCTCCATTCACTCCTCCCTCCCTCCTCACTCCACTCGCTCCTTACTCACTCCTCGCTCGCTCTCCTCTCCCCTCCTCCTCCTCCAATCAATCACTCACTCGTTCGCTCATTCTCTCACTCACTCACTCACTCGTTCGCTCACTGACTCACTCGCTCCCTCACTTACACGTGACATGGTGGTGAATGGACAGCATCTCGGATTGAGGAATCGGAGAGCCGATGTCTATGACATTCACTTACGTGCTAATATGCTTGGGAAAGGTATTAATCCATCTATTAGCCCTATAACAACCGGCCTTCGAGAAGGAAAACCACCTGCTCTCTCTCTCTCTCTCTCTCTCTCTCTCTCTCTCTCTCTCTCTCAATTCGAATAGGATGGACGGAATAACCTCAGCATAATATACATTGTTTTTATATTTCTAAATAATAAAAAAAAATAAATGTGTCGAAAGAGGAACCGGCAAGCAATGACACTATTAAGTCTTGAATACCACCATGAAAAACAATTGGGAGATGGTGGAGACTAGTAACCTCAGCTGTACTAACTGAATAAATGATGAAGAGAAGCCAAATGATAACAATTCAATAAAAAGCCCTTTAATCCATTAGACATTTCGCGTATCTCTTCCGTATCATTGCCTTTTAAAAG